GGAATGCCCCTTTCTGTGATACACAGCATGTTATTCTCAAAACAAAGGCTGAAGGGATGGAGTGAGTGGTACACAACAGTCAATTGAAATAAGGAACCAAAAAAGAATGCAATTTGTCTGGCTAATTATTATAGGTTAAGTATTTCTTAGTTGGATTCAAGATCCCTGTATTATGCCCTTGCCTAACAAAGTCATTTAAAACAAGTTATCTAGACTTCTAACTAGACTTCTTCTGGCATCTGATCGCTTGTACCATGCATATAGGAACACTTTATCTCCTCTTGGACCAAAATGAAAAGTAAAGAACAACAACATCTGACTGGTACACCTGGAGAGCACAAACTACATTGGACTAGACTGCAGATGACACAATAAGATTATCAGTATGTGCCACCTACTCCAACAGGAGGAACAGAGAAGAACACCCTGCACCTACCTTAATGCCACACGGTACTTCTGTCCTAACTTCTCAATTTCACCCATTACACAATCCGTGATACATGGAATACCTACATGCAAAAAAAAAGTCTGCATTAAAACCAAGCCGTATTTCTTCATAGACCCCTCTATATTGCCCACATGCCCAGGAACTATCATGGAACTCTCTAACATATTACTTACAGTTTTAAACTTGTAAGAACTGATAAGGTTGCAAACTGGTTAAATGTAGAGCCACTGAGTTTGACCATGCCATCACAAATTTAGATTTTAAAGTTATTAATGGTTTACCTTTGTTGAGATTAGCATTTAAGACTGTTGTTTGACTGAAACCAGAGACAGTCCAGGGTTACTATAGCCAGGAAAAATGAGCTCGATTATTATAGCACAGATCCTTTTTTCAAAATTTCTGTTAGCCTCAGCTAATGGTATGAGGCTGATAAGGCACAACACAGAACACACCATGGCAATATGCGGTTCAGAAGAAGCCACGAGTGATGCAGACACTCACACTTGGCATAGAGACAGTCCATCATTGACTGTACTAGGTCCAGCTTGGCCTTGATGGAGAAGTTGATGAAGTTAGTGTCAATCAGGATGTGATAAGGGGGCCCCAACTGCGTATTATACTGGAAGAACAAGCAAGAGGGATGCTGGGGGCTGCACGGAAGACAAAGAAGACACGTCAGTTAATTGCAGTTAACAACATATCCAATCCTTCACGCTGCACAGACAAAAGAAGAGTAATGAGCAGAATCAGCACAAGGCAGCGTGCGATGGTGACCTGCCAGGCCTCCTGCCACCACTCAAGTGCAATCTCTTGGTTTGGGCACCATTTCCTAAAGTTTTGTTCCAAAAACGCCCTCGGTTGCAGCCTGCGGCGTGGCCAGTCCTCTCTCCCTCCCTCCCCAACGCGTCGGCAGCACTTACACCTCTCGCTCCTTGATGGCAGCCGGGTCCTCCTTCTTCTTCACGCGGGCTTTCGCCCGGTCCTTCTCGTTACTGCAAGGAGACACAGACACTCCTGGACGGGGGGAACGACCGG